GAGGAGTTAATCTCCTCGAAGGGAAAAGGTCTGTATTTACATTTAACATCACATCAGAGTATCCATTTTGTTGGAAAATAGCACCTATTACAATGGGGTAAGATGTGGATTTTAGTTTAGTGTCGTCTTTGTACCTACTTTGTCTATTGAAAAAACGATTTGAGAGATGTTGAAGAATCTGCATCCAATTTACTGGGGAGTAAATAAAAAAGTTCCACGTTGTGCATTATTCTATACTAGTTTTTGCCCGCGGCTTCGCCCGCGTGGAATTTTGTCCGTCACAGAAAAACTTTATCGCGCGCGTCCGTTTTTCAAAAACCGGGATAAAAACTATCCTATGTCCTTTCCCGGGACTCAAACTATCTATATGCCAAATTTCATCAAAACCGGTTCAGTGGTTTGGGCGTGATAGCGAGACAGACAGACAGACAGAGTTACTTTCGCATTTATAATATTAGTACTACTTACTAAAGAAAATTAAAATATAAAAACTGCAAAAACCCACTTCACTCGAATTTCTAATTCGGTTGTGGCAAACTGGACCAGTAAAAAACAGGATCTAGTTTGTTTAATAGAGATATTCGCACTAGCAGTTTCTGCATACATTTGCAAACATCCGCACTGCAAATACGGGATACGTCCGTGTGAAAGAATCCCAAAAAACTGGAGTGTTGTGGGAAAGGGCCCATAAATTGGTTACTGTAATCATTTATATGTGTGTTTTTACCCCATCTCTGGTAGTACCCAAAGAACAAGCCTTACGGCCTTCGGATTGTGCTTCGGATAAGATATCTACTCGTAGGTACCTACTCCTGTATAAAATGTCAAAGATTATTAATTATTAATGACACGTATTGTTACACACGAGTATTGTGCCTACACCCCTCGTTCACAATGCGACACCCTTGGTCCGTAGTTATTAACGTGATCACGAGTAAGTTTAAATGATAGCAATTACAGTCAGAAAGGTGTGAAATACTTTAGTTAAGGTTTTTGCCTTAAGGCAGGGAAAATATGATTTCCACCATCTTTAGCTTTCTCCCCTTTTCCAAACTATGAAAAAAAGTTCTTCAGGTCGTTAAAGTATATGTCAACCACCGGTTGTTAACTTATGACGGTAAAGTATCTACATATCTTTCATACAGCATTATGAGCATTTAAAAAGTCAACATTTTTTTAGCATCTAATACTAATATTACTGTTCTTTCGTAGTTTAAAATATCGTTCGTATTGCATAAAATTGGAAACGGAATGCGTATTTTGAAATAGGTTAAATTCTTGGCTTACCTATCTCCTTTTTATGGAGTGACACTTCTGTACTTGCTTATTTTGTAATCAAACAGATCGTTAGCGGCCATAATGGGCGATTCTCATTGTTTATACTTTAATTACGAAAATTAATATCCCATATTTTGTTTATAGTGCGGTCATTTAATGTGCTATCTTTCAATGGTCTGAATACAGATTTTCCAATAATTATAAGGGTCATTCCATGAAAATCTGTATATTTTCGACGTCATTTTGTCCTAAACTTTTTTAAGATGCTTTTGAATACTTTATTAGTGTAAATTATAGTTTATTTATTAATTATGTTATGTCTATAAGGGCCAGTCACTTTATGCTTTATTTTACGAGAAATTATAACTTTCAATTTTTTCATACTACATTACTCCTATATGACTTTTAATAAAGTATAAAACTTATAACCTTAACATGTATAGATAAGTTAATATACTTAATGTAGTTGTTTTGTTATTATCACTATATAAAAAACTTCATTCCCTCTAGTAACTTAGTCCCTAGCGCCATTAAAAGCTAGGGCCTGACGGTCTAGGGACTGACGATTAGGAGTAAAACTTAAGACAAATGCAGATTAACTTTATATTATAAGATGCTTAATACGATGTGCCGAAAATAGCCAAAAAACCACACGTAAATACTAATAAATTATATACAATTTCCTATTGTAATCAATAAAGCTACTCAACTAGGGACTGACGCAGTGACTGGATCAACACCATGTTTCCGCAACAATTGGCACGTTTGCACTAATTCTAAAAACGGTTGCCGCAAAGTCAGTATGGTCTGAAGATAACTTCATATCGTACTTTAAATTCACCTAAATGTCATTCACTCTAAATACTTATTAAGGCGCAAAATTATAAAATCTGTGCGTGGCGAGGGAATGACGTTAAAAGCTGTGGACTCTTTTTCAACTTAAGAAAATCAAATTATTGTTTATTGAAACCGTAAAATATTAATAGAATTTGGTGTAATATACGTTTAAATAGATTATTCGTTAATTAAAACAAAGGATCAAGTTGATGTTTCCATAAATATGGGTTCCAAAACACAAACTTTTGGAGTACGGACATGCCTAGGGAATGACGTTATGGGTAATTTAAAAGGAATTTAAGATGTTTTAAAAATAGTTTTAAAAAATATAAATGGGTGATGAATAAAACACATTGCGAGCTGTTATTATACCGCCTCTNGGATAAAAAAAAAAAAAAAAAAATTAACAATTTTGGAATAAAATATTAACAAATATTCCATGTGAAATGTGGCGCGGACTAAGAGTTGACATATTTTTGTGGAATGACCCATAAAGAGTTAAACGTTGCACACGTTACACTGTTACCCAGTGATTAAAGAGTTTGATTCTAAAAGGTTTTGGATTCGATTCTCAAGTGGGACAAAAATAAGAATAAATTTTGTTTCGCAACGAATTTTTTAATGCTTACAAAAGAATGTTTTTATCTATGAGCGATAGCCAAGCTAAACGCTGTCGCATCTAACGTATTGAGTTAATATTTCTTGTCAAATTCTTTTCTCTCAGGAAAAGTCAAAATCATAAAGCCAAGTTTTCGGTTTTTATTTTCCTTAGTTATTACATATTGAGTTAGGATAGTGTTGTTTGAAATAAATATTTACTTTCATGTACTGTTGACTTTGCCAATAGCTTTGCTTAGTTTGGGGATAATGGACCTGTGTAGAAATAAAATAATATCCTCACATAAAAATGCGATAAAATCATTATTTCAATAAAGACATTTTATTTGGTTTTTCCTCAATCTAAAATTGTTTTCCACGTTTTCCCTAACTTCCTTATTTTCCTCCTAAAAATAAATAAAATGTTACACAAATAAGATCGTATCGCTTACGCCAACATTTTCGCGCCGAAAGTAATTATCGCGCGTAAAAATATTCTCAGACTCACAAAGATTGTCACAGATATTAAAAAATATTAATAAACGCGACCCGCCTTTTTTCATTCACCTTTGCGCACTTGTGTGGAAAAAAGTTGGTATTTTGTTTTAAAAATAAATTTCTGAATTTGAGATTGGAAACTCGATTGGAGTTTCCAACTGATTTTGAAATGCGAAAACTTAGATTTTTGGAAAAATCCTTGCTGAGAATAGGTACATGCTGTCGATTTATAAAAAAATAAAATTGTGGAATGAAAAACAATGCAAAATCAACACAATTTAAATAAGTTAAGGTGCAACAGTGTATAGCGTTTTCAGTGTTAATTTGGACGAGTCCTTTTCACAGCGTTCCTAAGCCGTAAACATGTTTAAAACTAATTAAAATGCAATAAAAAAGACCCTTTGCCCTCATTTTTAGGCGCAAAATATTCACATTTTATGGCACGATATAACGTACTAAAACACCAAGTAAGATAAGCACGTAACACGAAGAGCATACGGATCAAAAACTGCTGGCCGTTTCGCTCTCGTCTGTACACAAAATTAAAAAGAAAAATGTTTTAAAACCTATCATTGTCCCGCTCACACCTTTCAAATAAAGTCAAGCGGGACAGAGACAACAAAAGGCGTCAATCCTGAAGCCCTTGGCTCAGACAGTATTAGACGAGGATTAGCGTTTTCATTCCACGAAGTAATAAATCTGCATATTTCTGTGCAAACAGATGTTTTCACGTTTTTCATTAGTGCTGTTAATTTTAGAAACTCTGTAGGTGCGCGATAAAACCTTTTTTTGTCTTTCCATTAAAAGTTGAATTAAAAAATTTACGTGATGCTGGCACAACATAATGGTATTGCAAAAATATTATGAATAAAATATCATTCGTTTTAGAATTTCAAAACTTAAAAAGAGAATGTCAAATAATGCTGAGACATTTTTTATTGAAATTTGTCCCTCCATACAAACCGAATCCTTCACAATTTCAAAGCAATTGAGAATCAAACTTTGCAGTTGATTGAAAAATAATTAGGAAGTGAAATTAACTGTGAATATAATTTTTAAAATGGGGTCACCTACCCAATTTCCTTCATAATAAATTCTTACTGTTCTTAGTACATATCTATGGCCAAGTAATCTGCTACTTCCACTAAGTTACCTATGTAGGGATGATACGAGATTAATGCCCGTTTTCACCATCAATCCCTATTTTTTAAGTTTACTTTCTTTGATTGATGGTGAAAATGGGTATTAATGAATCAAATAGTGGAAGTCAACCTACTCGAAACGGTAATAATATCCTATGATAAATAATATTGAAAGGATTGAAGTTTGCATTGTTTAACGTGATGACGAATCTGTAGCAGGCGAAAAACAAATAGTGCAAAGCCGCGAAAAGCTAGCATTAAGAATGAAACCAACGTTTTAAATCCAAAAATCGATCCAAGACAATTCAGCGGCCGCATTATCTTCCAAATCTTCTAAGCGGAGATAAGAAAAATATTCATGAATAATCTCAGAAGCTCAAAATATCACCGTCTTCTTATCTCAACCCCCAGGCTTTTGGGGGGAATCTGGGGATTCCAATAGCTCTGGAATAGTTATCAGATTGTTGTCAGAACCTCGCAATTTTGATTAATCTTTCGGTATTTTATAGGTCGATAACGTAATTGCAATTGATATTAGACTTGAATGTTTGTTTTTTCTTCAAAATATTTTTAATATGAAGCTGAGGCCTTTATTATACTTTGCTCTGTTAGCTTGGCATAACGTAATATTAAACTTTCTAAACTCACCTCCACACGTCTCTCGAAAATCGGGACAGCAGTCTCCCAACTTCAAGCAAGCATGGTCACAGTAGCAAGGCTTGTCCGTCAGGTCTTCTATGATCGCGTTCTGATGAGCTTTTTGCACCACACACGCACTGTCCCGCCCGGGACAACACAGGTTGGCGTCCCGGCAGTAATTCGCACCACAGTGTCCCGCCAAACACACCGCACTAGCGAAACACAACCAATACCGAAGCATTTTGCTCTCAAAATTGCTTGTTTCTACAAAAAACTAAAGTTCACTTTCAATGGCCAATTACCAAAAGTTCAGAGCAGCTAATTTAAATTAAAAAAACACTACGGAACTACAAGAGAGCCAATGCCGTTAATTCAAAACAGCCCCCCTAGACAAAACGCACTTTTTGATCGAATCGAAAATCGAATCCGTCAAAACTCCATACAAAAAAGGGGCTTTTCGACCACTTTTCGACTGGTTTGCGATTATAATTTGCACTTTGTCTAGACCCACCGAGCTTGCTGAGAAAAAAGGCGAAACGCGCGCCAAAGCACTGTCCAGTTATAAATTAAAAAGAAGTCCAGGCTCCTTGTATGCCTTTTAAAATTTTCGTAAATGGAATCGAGCTTGGTCGAATGTCATTCCAAATTTAAAACCGGCGACGCCCGCTCGCTCTGAAACAAATATAAAAAAGTTTTTATAATGACAATTTTCGCCACTCCATACAAAATAAGTTAGGTTGACGTTTGTTACCAATATTGCAAAAAAAAACATACAAAAATAAAAAGTATCCGCTATGCACTGAATCGTTTCCTTTTTAATTCAGGAGTTTTATGTTAATTACAGTTAAAAATCATAAATTATTGTTTGATGTAATAGATTGTCATTAATTTAAATTGGCTTTATTTTATATTGCAAGCGTACTTATGTGCTTAGGAATGTACCAAAAAAAAATCTTCAAACAGTAAATTTTTGTATTTTAAATAATAAAAATATTACAACAATTAAAAGCACCAGAAAAGGACGGTCCATTTAAGGGCAGTCCTTTCTGACGTGCCTCCTGTGAGGTTTGAACTCACGACCCCTGGTTTACGAGACCAGTGCTCTACCACTGAGCTAAAGAGGCGTTGGGACGGTCGGCGAAATAGGCCAACAGATAACGCATTTCGTTTTTTGAACAACCGGGCACAGAACATACAATTATTATTTTTTATTATTAAGTTCGATTTTTAAATCGCTACCACAGACTTGATTCTTTAATTTATAAAAAAAAGTCATTGGTTTTCAACCGTATCTTCACAGCGTAAAGTTCAAATTGATGTGGGCTGTGTGGATATCAGAGTCTGATTCCAACTTTTTGAATTCTTTAAAAAAATAATATCCAGCCAGTAAGTTGTAACAGGATTTCGTTAAAAAATCGCAGCTATCTATCGCAGCTACTATAATAAGACATATTTAGATACGACTCGTTATTTCTACAGTAGGTACTCTTTCCCTTATAGCGGTTCATACTTGACCGGTTGTTATCTTACTAAGAAGGTCTTGTGATAACAAAAACTGACTTCACCGAGGTTTCTGACCTAAGTAGGTACAACGAACTTACTACATCAAGTAGGTGCTTAAGTACATAGTCGTACATATTTAATTGCTTGTACTGCTTTTTCACTTAATATTAACATCATGTTTTAAATAAAAAACAACGAAACGTCGAGATTCTAATAAAAAGTCACACAATTTAAAATGACATTTAAGTACATCCTATAAACTTCACTTAAAACTAGAGCTCTACTTTTATTTGTAAGGATGATGTGAATGCCATAAAGTATCCTTTGCCACTCACCTTCGGGCAAAACAAAAAAAACAATCGTTTTGCGCTGCTTTAAAAAGCAAAAAAAAATGTTATACGTTAAAAAAATATTTTTTGTGAAGTAATTTTTTAGAGTCGATTTAATTCCTTCTAAAGTGCGCTTAAGTCCAATTTTATTATTTAAAGATTCGGCTTCTTTACTCATGTAGCTAAACCACTGTCTAACAACACGTAACAAAGCCTTATCTAATAAACATAAATTCCATTCCAAAAGCCATGGCAACCATTCCAGCCACTAGAAGTTCGAAGGTGCTCGAATTGGTTCGGGTAGCCGAGATATGCGTTCGACGGCCTGCTAAAATATTAATCAAAACATTACCAAGTATGCTGTTATTGTTTGTGGTAAGGCATGGGCTGAAGCGAATTCCAATTTAAATTTTTTTACAAAATGGCCGCCTTATACTTTCGATTCATTTGCGAATTTTGACATTTATTCATCCCCAGACTATTAAGATTTTTGGTTGCATTGTAATTGAAATAAGTAGTTTAATTGAGTTGACAAAATAGTGACGTCACTGGCTAGTATTTCCATACAAAATCTATGGGAGAGTCACGTTTTGACAGTTTTAAAAAGTACGTCAATTGATTGGTGGTGGCAATTAATACCCTATATACGTAAACAAAAAAAAAATATTAATATTTAATTATTGAGCCAAATAGGCGCCAAATGCATTAGTCGTGATAAAATATGACGCTTTACTTTAATTAAGAAGAGTTAAAAACTGATGACTTGGCTGTACGGCATAATGCCTTTGCGTTTTCCTGTAAAAAGAAATAATCAAACCAAAAATAAGTAAAGTTATTTGAACATGTTTTTCTGGTGACCTTTGGGGCAAATAGTGACAGAGTTTTTTGCGCTGCTTCTTCTCAGCACTGGCCCATTACTGTCCCAAAGCAGTGGTAGGGTTGGGACGTGTAAAAACGCTCTTTAGCGTTCTTGAAAAAAATAAACGATTTTGATTTAGATTTTTTGATTTAGGATTATTATTCTTTTTAAAATCGCTGCCTCCTCCAAGTGATACCAACACACATGCCCAACGGAGCGTAGCTAAATCTTAAAGTTAAAACATAATAACTCAAGTTCCCAACTCGGGACGTAAAGTCTATTACACTTCATTAAGCAATAATAAACGCGGGAAATTTACTTGTTAAACCAATGTGTTAGGACTTTACTGGTATTAATGTAATAAGGGGTAGGGACTCGCTACGTGCTATCTCAATTTTACATAATATATTCGGTGGTGACACTTTTTATGGGCTGTTAAAACGTCCTCTTCATATTTAAACATCAATGAAATGAAATATCTGTAGATTTAACTTTGTCCCATATTTGGCACTTATGAATGTCACCAAAAATAAATAAAAAATAATTATGTCCCATATTTGGCACAGATGAATGTCGAAAAATAAAAAATAAATCTATAGACCCCGTAGATTAAAGACTTTGTAACGGCCGATAGTTTGGTCAGATTCTAATTTATATGAGGAATCCGCCCATTCCAAATCGGTGTAGTCTGCGCACTTTCATACATGTTCATACTGATAACAGCCCGATCGGTCGACTATTTTTAGACCCTACCAGCGCTTAGAGACAATATGACAACTGCTAAGAAGAAACGACTAAACATATTTTACGACACTTATTCCCCTACTCAATCAACTATTTAGCCTACTTTTTTTTACAAAAGGAACCAATAATCTAATGGCCTTTTTTAATGATTCGAGAATTTAGGGCTAAAATGGAGTTAAAATTCTTAGGGTTCCGTAGTCCTCAACTAGTTAGGTACTAGTTAGCAATAGTGGATGAAATCGTATCGAGTTAGCGAACTCGAATCCAATAGTCTAACTTTGATTCATTACGAATTTGTATTTGTTGTCAAGCAAGTTTCGGGCTGTATCGGAATATTAAACTTTGTAAACCATTTAGTACCTACAGACTTGACACATGTATTTAGTAATAAATTCATCAAATTTAGATCGCTTTATAGCGAGAACACCGCCTAGTTGTACCTTGTGTGTTTCTGTTTCTTTCTGTTCTGTTCTTTGGTGTGCAATAAAGAGTATTTATTATTATTATTCATGTATGGGGTAGTTCCCACGGAGACATCCTGTTTTTTGCAGGATCCTGTTTAGTATTATACGTGTTTTAATATTAACGTTCACACGAACATCCCGTTTGCAGTGTCCCGCAAAAAAACTGATCCGTAATTTGATGTTTCAAACACACGTGTGTTCACACGACAGTCCAGCTTTGCGGGACCCTGCATTACTGGGTCCCTTCAAACTGGATTGTGCGGAACGAGCCCTCAGCCGTGTGGTTCCAACAAAGAAGAATACCCTATTACCCTACTCGTCCCGTAGATGGCACATGAGTGACAAATATGCGAACGGCTTTCACAAATTCATTCAAACGAACTGACTATCTAAAAAAAATGTTCTTCGATTATTTCATGTAAGACATCAACAGCTTTAAAAGTCTCACACGATATGCATAAAACAAGAGTGTTTTATCTTTTATATTAAATAATAAAAATTCTGTTGTTCGCGGAAATTGAAAAGTAGCTTATAAATAACATGACTCATCAATTATTGCAGTAAATTAAAAGCCACAGCTGAAAAATGCAGGAAAAACCTGCCGTGGTAATTAAACCGTTAATTGGCTACTAATTAGTGTTGTCACACAAATTGTAGAACTGTCGATATAAATTGTCGATACTATCGTTAGCTTTGAGTATCGAAGCGTGCACAAGAGGTGGGTTCGGGGACTACAAAATATAAAAAGATGGAGAATTAATCTGATCTAGCCAGAAAACTTTTAAGTTTTATTTAAAAACTAGCTGACCCGGCGAACTTTGTTCCGCCTTAATGGCAATAAATAACGGGATAAAAAGTATCCTATGTCCTTCTCCTGGCTCTAAACTACCTCCCTGACAATTTTCAGCTAAATCGGTTCAGCCGTTCTTGAGTTATAAGCGAAGTAACTAACACGACTTTCTTTTATATATATATAAGACTAAGGAAAGAACTTACTAACTAATAAAAATCCTGTAGTAAATTCAAACTGCTTAAAAAATTTCATTTCCTGTTTAGGTACTTTTTACTAACACAATTAAAAAATCAGTAACTCATACTCAGTCACTGAAAACTTAAGGTATTATTAATGGTCCAATGAAATAACGTATTTTATCTTTTATACACACAGGGTTACAGGTCTTGCAGTAAAGAAAATCTTTACAATCTAATTTTAGACGGTGTAATCATCATCATCATCATTTCAGCCACAGGACGTCCACTGCTGAACATAGGTCCCCCCATGCTTTCCATTCCACGTCGCGTTGATCGATTGGTAGCGGCCTGCCTCCAGTAAAGGTAGCAGGGAAGACGGTGTAATCACTAACTATAAATTACAAAATAATGGTTTCAATTCCACTCTTATCAATAATTTTAAGCCACTTTTCAATTTCATATCGATAAAATGCCTCAACTGTACATCACTACAACTAATTACGATGCCAATGCAGTTCCCGCCTCGGAGTGACGTCACGGACGCTTAATGACGTCACGAACCACCTCGACAATGAGCGCCTGAAATAACTTTTTCATGGCAATTAAACTAAAAGATGAAATAATAGGCGCAGTTAACTTGAATTGTGTAAAGTTGACTGTTCTTGGTTAAGTAACTGAATTTTGGGGCTTAAATTTTGAGTTAATTTTCAACCGACTTCAAAAAAGGAGGAGGTTCTCAATTCGACCCGTATGTTTTTTTTTTTTTTTTTTCTATGTTTGTTACGCGATAACTCC